TGATTTCATAAACTACAGTATATTCCTGCTACCAAACACACCTGACCCCCACGTCCACTGAGATACACGGCCAAAAGTTCTTGCCAGACTGTCTCATGGTATATTAGCATATGCAAAAGTTATGACATCATTTATTAATACTGTATGTCACACTACAGCCAAACACATCTTAAACATGTTAGTTTATAGATATTAAATATATTACTTTTATAAAAAAGTATTAATTTAAAATATTTCATTGTTCACCAGGTAGAGAAGGAAAAAATGCCTTCTTAGTATCTCAAAATATTGACTTAATATCTCAAAATGATGACTTATTCTCTCAAAATGTTCAGAGTATATGTCAAAAACAATGAGTTATTAAATTTCAAGAAACAAAGTAATTATCAAGTAATTAAGTTATTATCTAAATAAGTCATTATTATGACACAGAAACACATTATTTTTATATATTTAGTCAATGTTTTGAGAGAATATGTCATTATTTCAACATAGTAAGTCATTATTACAAGATATTAAGCCACTATTTTGATGTTGTTTTTAGTTAATATTCTCAGAAAATAATTATTTTTGAGATACTAAGTTGACACACTGCTCCCAGTAACAGAGAAAGAGAAATAATCATAGGTCAGTTTTTTCTGCTCTACTTCACAGGAATGGGTCCATAAATCAGTTTATTTGCATGAAATGTTGAATTTAGTTATAAAATCACTAATCCAGAATAATTCAAATTTAAGCTCAATTTTGATTCAATTTCATATTTACTTTTCTAATTTGATGTTTAAAATGCATTTGATAAATCAAACATATCAAACATTCTCTAAAATTGGCTTGAATTAATTGCAGCCATTTGGATGTATATATTCAGGAAGCCCTCATAAAGTAGTTGTAATGGCATATATTGACAGAAAACATCAATAATTCATAAAACCTCAAACAACTTGCCTCGCTTCCAGCACAGACCTATCAAATAGTCATGAAGGTAATACTAAGCTGGATTCAGGTAATACTGTGAGATAAATCTTCCCTCCTCTGTGGCTAAAGATCACACGCTCAGCCCTCATAATTTGCATTGCAATTATTTTTCTGTGTTGAAAGATGTGTTTATATACACCCAATAAATAACATCCCGAAGACTGGCTCTAAGTCCATGGGTATGAATTTAAATTTCCATGTTAATGGCCGCTCTATGAATTGCAAATGAATTCTCACAACGTGACGACATCAGATGCAACACACTGGAGAACTACTTTGCAGCTCTATCCAATATGTGACTGTGCATTATCTGTCATGGTGAGAAAGCATCTTAACATGAAAAAAATATGCCAGCTCATCTTCAAGGGTTGCCTCGAGGAAACCCAATCCTACAGGTTAAACTACCAGGCCCCTCTGCTATTTCAGAATCAATATTATTGATGCTACAGAGACTAAAAATGTGCACCTAAGGATGTTTCATAGCTCTCTCTCTTGTTTCTGAGAGCATTTTGCTCTTTTTTGAGAAAGGAAAAAACAACTTAAATGCACCAAAGGTTCATTTTTACCTCTTCTCACATGCACCACTCGCTTACATGCCCACAAAGCAGAAAGTCCATTTCCCTGCAGGTTTGCAGGGGCGGCACCAATGTCATGCACTGCTGAGGGTGACTTTATGGCAAATAGCTTCCTTATGAGAAAGTGACAGTGTTGGCGTCTGAAACATGACCTTGCTGCTTGCGTGCAGATTATGCCTCGGCAGGATCTAGCCTCTTGCTAATTGTAACTGAATCTGCGCTGACCAAAGCTAACTGGCGTAATGTTTGCATCAACTCAAGGTCAAGCGCTGGGGCCAATCGATCGGAAACACACCATCAGTGCAGAACTTCATCTATCTCCTCCGGCCTTGTACATGATCTTATCCCAGATCCAGCGCTATTTGTTTCGCCTTTGTCAAAAGATATGCATCCGAAACGCAGCCGTAAGAGCAGCCGTCTGCCTCTCTAACCCCCTCCCACACCTATAGATTGTTATCTACTCTTGATAACATGATTAATGACCAGGTCCACTCTATAGGACCAGCGCTGAGGGCTGAGGACAGACACAAGATTTTGTGCTTGGCTGCTTGTCCATAAGCTCCTCTGACCTTATGAAGTGCCTGGCACACATAATTATCTGGGGTGGAAAAAGTGACTCGGGTTAAAGATCAATTGACAGGTCTCACAATAATGTCAAGTGGTTTGCCATGCTGTGAGGTCCATCTGCTCCTGAAGGGATGACAATCTGCCTCATAGATCTCCTGTGTATGACACCGGGGGCGTCAATGCCCACATCAAACATCCACATCAAACATTATAACCATAATACATATTTAACATAAAAATATCAAACACTGCCCTTTACATATTGATTTGCTCAATGCAATATTATCAGTGCTGTTCAAGTATGAAGTAAAAGGCAAATTCCGGCATTTTACTTGGTGTATTTGGAGGTGGAGGTCAGTTACGACCACGACTGAATTATAATCAACTGCAAATTGACCTAACAATTAATCAAGGTAATTAATTGAGTTTTGCCAACTCTTTGAACAACTTGAGGTTTATGACGGTAAACAGACTACAAAAAAACATTTGGCGTGACCACATTAGCAATACTGAGAGAATATTCAATGAGCTTTTATTTTTTTAATGAATCTTTTCACTAAATAAAGAGTTCTAAGGGGAAATTTAGTTCTTTACTCTTAAAAACGTTTGGTTACACTATAGCAGAATTCACAAATGGCACAAATTAAGCAGTCCAGTTCTTAAATCAGAGAACATCTTAGATGAAGCAGTTTGGCTGACAATTGATATTATCAAATATCACAATAATGTAAATATTACACAATTTATCATTCTTTCATTTTCTTTCATGTGCCCTGTTTTTATTACTTCATCCTTTCACCACTGCATTTGTACAATCATTAACATTTGATGAAATATGTCATATTTAAGTTTTCTCATAGAAAATCATCAAAGTGTGTCTATTTTTTCATTTTGGTTTCTTTCCCAATATGTCAAATTCAGCTAATAAAAAGTAATTGTGCATTAAGATGTTCTCTGTAGGGGATGTGTACTTATTTTAACTTACAAAGTCAACCAAACATGTAATTTGACCAGGGCTCCTAAAGTTTTGCATATGACAATATACAACAGATAAAGTTGCACTTAACAACTACTTAAATACACAAATATACTTTCAACACCACTTGGGAAGATTTTAATGTAAATTTTCACTTTCTGGAAAGCATGCAAATAAAACAAAAGAAACTCTAGTACATTCAATCTCCTCTCTGGTAGAGGGTAAAGTAAAGAAGCTTGTCCAAATGAACAGGAATGAGGAGATCCACAGCATGTTAACTGTGTTACTTGCCATATGTGCACAATAAAATAACAAATATAAATGAGTAATTGAGTAATATTCGAAGCCAGTTCTGTTGATAATTATATGGTAATTATATTACCATCAGGGAAAATCTAAGCCATAGGTCAAGGTTTTGAAATGTTCACATGTGGTACATCGTAACTGAATTTGGATCATGGTGATATCGTTTATCACAATCATTCTGCAGACGATAGCCATTTGTCTAATGTCCAAGCTTAATACAAGGCCCGAAAAAGGTGAATAAAGCCGCAAACATCTTACTTCTAACAGAGTTTCCCTGAGTCTCTACACTTGCATTATGTGGGGCAGGAGTGTATGAAGCTCTGTCTGTTCAAAGTAACATCTGTTACAAAGATGATTAACGCTGAGAACTTATCCAGGCCCTCTTTAGCGGATTGAGGCGGGGCAGATGGCATTATATCTCCAATTCACTCAAACGTCCATGAATATTATGCTATAGTGTTATTTATTATTTTACTCTGGTTCTGTCTGGTGGACAAAAGATCCTCATATTTCAAGTTGATGAATATGGAAACTATTCAAGTCCTGGAACCCCCCTGCCTCGCACTGTATTCCTCCTTCTAACACATCTGAGTCAGCTCATCAGCTCATTATCATAGCTCTTAATGAGGCCCCGTGTTAGAGCAGGGAAATCACTACATGTGCAGATTCCCAGGACCAGCATTAGGAGCCACTCTAGTGGTCTCCAGACTGCCGTGTGGTTTCCATATTGACTAAAAGAAGGTCAGCTCTCCCTTTAGGCCTGTTGTGAGTCCATGGATGAACTTCTCTCACTCTCTCTCTATCTCGCTCTCCCTATTCCTGTACCAGTTTTGTTAATAATATATACTATAATAAAGCATTATATTATTATCCAACTTATTGGAGGAAAGTATAAACTACCAAACCAAAATCTTTTATTCAGTCCAGTATTGTCTCACAACCTGTCTGATAAATGATGTCTTTCTCTACCTCTGTCTCTGTCCTTTCAGAAAGCATGTTGCGTAAATTACAATATAATCATGGAAGAAACTTTGATTGTCAAGATTTCATGTTTCATTAATATCTCAAAATCTTTTTCTTTATTCCACCCAGTGCATGTATACACCCAGTATATGATGTAACTCTGTCTAAATCTGTCTCGCTACATGTTTGTATTTTGTCACAGTAGTTTTCCATCATAGAGAAGAACCATTTTACCATGCAAAGTACCACTTATTCAAATGGGTCTATGAGTGTTCACCATTCTATACATAATTATTTTCTTTACTAAAGAACCCTTGAAGAACCATTTCTAAGGACTTGTATCTTCTATTTATATATCTCTTGATAGATAGATAGATAGATAGATAGATAGATAGATAGATAGAACCATGAACACTCAAAGAACCATGTAAATGCATAGGTGGTTCTTTGTAAAACAGGTCTTATCTATTATGGAAAGCATTTATTAAAATGACTCTAAAAAGCACCAAAAATGGTTCTGCTACTGTTATAACTTATAATATATAACAAATAATCTTTTTTGGTACTATACAGAGCACTACTATTAAAATGTTTCCCTCTTTTCCTCTCAACTTTTGTCTATCTGTCTCTCTCTTTACCTGTACCAGCTGAGTCCTCGGCCGTAATGTCTGTCGAAGAAGTGGGGCTCCGAGCCCAGCGCTCTAATGTCCGGGTGCAGTCTGAGGAACTCCAGCAGCGCTCTGGTTCCTCCCTTCTTCACTCCCACGATGAGGGCGTGTGGGAGTCTGCGGCTGGCCGTCCACTCTCTGCCGGAGCTGATCATCTCAGCCTCCGCTCTCTGCTCCACCGTGCTGTTCCTCTCATGGACTGTCGTTTTCAGCAGCAGTACCGGCGCCTTTTCTCCCACGGCAGCCTCGCAGCGTCCCGCTATGAAGTAGAGCAGGCAGGCGCAGGCCACGCCGAGCGACAGCATCACCACAACTTTCTGAGCGAGTCTCCTCAGGTCCAGCGCGGGGCTGTGAGCGCTCGCCATCCCGCCGAGGAGATCCGCGAAGAGGCCATGCTAATAACGCCGGCTAACTTCAGCTGTGAACCCCTCACACATGGCAACCACACTCAACTCACTCCAGCTCAGACTCCACATCGTCCTGTCTGTCCTTCTCTCTCAGTCAGTGAAGATAAACACCGCCCGCTCTGACACGAACAAACACCAAACCGGACCGGCTCTTCTCACATATTCCAACGGCTGAGTCGCGAAAACCGTTAACAACCTACACGAACACAGTTTTTAAATCTCCGCGCGCTGACGACGCCTGTGTCAATAAACTCTGAGGCTGCTCACACGAGCCGCTCTGTCAGGAGGAAAAGTGGTGGAATTCTCATGAACAATTTCAGCGCTAAATGAAACGTAAAAATATATTAAAATGTATACCGAGTTTTAAATCTCCTCGCTGTCTGTTTGGTCTACAAACTCTCCGTCAGATTCACCGTCCTCTCCTCTCATTCATTAAAGCGCGTGCGGCTCAGGGCTCCTCTCTGATTGGACGGTCGTCGCCGAGGGGCGGTGCTAATCCGTCTTTCCTTAACTGATCGAGGGCTTAGTGTTCAGTGTGTAAACAGCAGTGATGAGGTTCACCCTGTCTCACACAGAGCTTAGTGTTATTTTTTATTATCTTACCAGTGAAGAAGTTCTATACTGCCTGGCTTTGTATGTTTGAGACATTTTGAGAAAAAAAAATCGAAATAGTTACAGTACTGTACAAAAGTCAGAGACCACCATTCATCCTTTACATTTTAAGTTATTCATTTTTCAGAATGCAGGGGAGAAAAAAAGCAGAAACCATAAACTGAACAGAAAATTACGTAGAAGCCTCAACGATTAAATATCAATTTTCTGTATTTAGGTAGTTCAGGCTTTGCTTTTATTACAGCTCCCTTTCTTTTCAAGAGATTTACTTTCAGTTTTCCAAAGAAATCTGCAGGGATATTTTTCCAGTGTTCAGTCTTAGACGTTTTCTGCTTCTCGCAATCCAAGTAATCCCAAACACATTTAGTGATGTTGAGGTCTGGACTCTGGAGTGGTCAGTCCATTGTTCTGGAAACACCAGCAACTTCCTTCTTTTCTCTGACGTGCAAATGTATTTTTCATCTATTTCTTTTCTCAGTAACTGCTTCTTGAGAGCTACACATCCTTACACTAATGACATTCAATTCAGCTTTTCAGAGTTTAAATTTGAGGAAGTTGTTCTTAATGTGTAACAATGTGCAATTCTACATTATGACTTTATTTCTTGAAATTTTGAAAGATTATTGTTCAAGTTTTGTTAGAAGTGTTGGAAGACGTTACATTGTAGCAGCTACAGCAATATTTTTGAAGTCTGATTCAGTAAGACTTGTGAATCAGTTTGATTTAATTATGCTTGTCAATCGGATTGATTTTGTTGGACTTGGTAATCAGTAAGATTCAGTTGGACCTGATAATCAGTTTGATTCTGTTGGACTTGGTAATCGGTTTGATTCAGTTGGACTTGGTAATCTGTTTGACTCAGACTCATGAATCAGTTTGATTCAATTGGACTTGGTAATCAGTAAGATTCAGTCGGACTTGGTAATCAGTTTGATTTGTTTGGACTTGGTAATCAGCTTGATTCAGTTGGACTTGGTAATTAGTTTAATTCATTTGGACTTGTTAATCAGTAAGATTCAGTCAGACTTGGTAATGAATTTGATTTGTTTGGACTTGGTAATCAGTGAGATTCAGTTGGACTTGGTAATCGGTTTGATTCAGTTGGACTTGGAAATTAATTTGATTCATTTGGATTTGGTAATCACTAATATTCAGTTGGACTTGGTAATCGGTTTGATTGAGACCTGTAAATCAGTCTGATTCAATTAGCCTTGTGAACCAGTTTGATCCAGTTGGTCTTGGCAATCAGTTTGACTCAGTCTCATGCATCAGTTTGATTCAATTAGACTTGTGAATCAGTGTGATTCAGTTGGACTTGGTGATCAGTTTGATTCAACTGGACTTGGTGAACAGTTTAAAAGCAACTGGTACAAAAAATGATTTGTTCATGAGTCAGACAGCAAAATTAGTTGGTGTGTATGTGAGTGATAAGTTCCACATAAGCATCTTGTATTATTTCTGGCCTTTCCAATGATTATTTAAGATCTAAAGGACCAGTTAGAGAAGTTTGAGATATCAGACACAAGTTGCAAAGACTCAGACAGGTCCATATGGGCTGCCTCCATGTTGTTTTAAGGCACAGAGATTTAAGGCATAGATTACTTTAGTCTAACACATAATGGATTTGCCACTTACAAGCTCAACACCCACTGAAACGGGATGGTGATCTGCTTCACACTTGTTCTGGTTTAGGGTATTTAAATGAGTAAATGTAACTAGTTATGTCCCACATTTGCTCACTGATTTTTTATTTTTGGAGGAGGGAATTTATCATTGCTGATTTGTGTATTGGTCTCTGTCAATTGCAGCACGTTATTCAGTGATCCTTATTCGTTTCACTGAGGTGGAATATATTCTGCGTTTCCGATTCATGCACTTCCTATCAGCATTTATCTTGATGGATTCCATGACTGTATCTTACTCTTTTGACAACTAGAAGAAATGAGCAATGCTCAGCACCGGAGCAATAAAATCAGATGAAGAAGTGAGAAATGTTCACCAGGAGGAGTCAGGTTATGAACAGACCTCATGGGCCTAAATAATGATGCCTGTAAAATAAATATCAAATACCATCTCAGGTGTGAACTATATATTGATGTGATATAATCGCACATCTGATGTAATTATTATATCATGACTGCATCAGAAAAAAAATTACATGGTCATTTGGTGTGATTTCATCTGCTTTATGTTGTGATTTATTTTACCCCCATTTCTCCAGCAGCAGATGTGACCAGGGCCAAAAGGTCAAATGCGTGTGCTCCTTAATAGTGATGTTATGAGCTATACAGACCTACTATAGCACACATAGAACTTTATTGTTTTTTTAATATTTGGCTATATTTGTTTTTTTTTTTTATTCTGCACTGTATGTATTTAATATGAGAGTTGAACTTTCAGGTGTTAAGCAAACTCAGTCTCATTTATAATAAAAGCCTTCATGGTTAAATTTTTTCTTAAATGAAATACTCATGAATTGAGTGATGATGTGACTGACACCCATCCTTGTAGCATAAAATGCAAAAATTTACACCTAATGGTACTATAGAAGAAACATCTGATCTTACATTATTTACTACAGAATTATCTTCACAAAATGTGGATGTGTTAACATGAGACCATGTGGTGCTCTTGTGATAATGGCCTCTATACTTGAGTGCATATCTAATCCTATTTGGCTGTTTTTGTCTCTACCTTTAGTCCCATTTTATTTGGTGTAAACCAAGGTTATCTACATGTGGTTAGCTTTTTTTAAGCTTTTGTTTTCTGGCAGAAGTCGGACTCTTTAGCTGTCTGACTGACTACCAGTGAGCAAACAACTTGCATTTTAAAAACACCCTTTGAAAGTGGAAAAATCACTGTATCACTGACTGACAAGAAAGGTCTGTGTTATTCTTAGGTAATACATGCTAATGTTGCTCGGATGATTGTTTATTATAGCCACCTAGCCATATATACTTTGGCAAATGCTAATCCTGAAGGTGGTTACAACACTTACCACTATGATTACTGTAGTTTACCTCCGCTGAACTAAACTTTGGTTCTGTAATACAGCATCTCTCACAGATTAACAGTTTGTGTGGGGTGGAGCTGCGGCATTAATTACATGACAGTTTCTTCTAACATAATCTCACCCAACTCATATCCAGTAGAGGAAACACAAAAGTGCAGGGAGCTATTGTCATCAGATCTTCATTGGTATAATGTTGATTTTGCATTTGAGACCTGAACATTGAGTCAGACCTTCTTTTTGAGTCTGTACATGTGACGTTAATACATAAAGACATATGATGTAGTCCGAATCTGACCCAGTACAACTGACTTTTAATTTAATTATTTAATGCTTTACAGGGCAATTTGCAGCAGCGCACACACTCCATATTTTAGTGAGTTCTTAATTCAGCATACTCAGTAATGCTACTTCATTCAGTTTTAACTAAAAATATTACATAGTGCTGCTCTAAGGTGGTATAATTAGATATATAGATACTTCATTGAATGTAAAGACAAGACAAGCATCTAAAAAGATCCACTTTGGACAATCCAACTAAAGTGTTACCAATTATTAGTCATACTAGTTGTGTCAAATGCCTCAAAACTTGGAGAGAAACATCTACCATCTACTCTCCACATGCCCAAGCAAAAGTCTGATGGGCTGATCCAGATCTTAGTTCTGTCCTAACCTTGCTTTACACTTGAAGGAACCTCCAACCTTACAATACAGCTGGTATTCAAACGTTGTGGCAGCGTGGCTAACCTGAGCACTGGTAGCTGTGCCTTTTCTCCACATGTATTTTCCTATTTATTTTATCAATGAAAGTACTTTCCAAGGATCATGGAACAAGGTCATCCAAGTCGGTCCAAGCAATTGCGTGTCTTTTGTGTGCAGTGTGAGAACAGATTGTTGGATGATGAAGTGTCCATCTATAAAAACATGACCCTGAGGTCAGGGCCAGTGAGCGGTGCGGGTGATTTATTTCCTGCTGCGGCCAAAACAATGTTTTCATGAAACCCAAATGAGCACTAAGGCTTTATTAACTGCACTACATCATACTCTTGTGTGCTGCCATACTCTGCATCTTGAAATAAGCAATAGTTGTTGTCCTTTTTTTTGTTGATGGTTTCATTGTGCAGAAGCTACACATCACAAATCTTAACATTTGTTTTCCCAGCGTGTGTTTCATCACCGTGTTGGTCTATGCACCAATGGGCGGTGAGATTATGGTGCTGTTGCAGCCAGTTAATCTTTTGAAAGATGGGAGTGTCTGCTAGAGCAATATAAGCAGCAGACAGTGCTAAATTTCAATTGGAAATTCCTTTTCGGGTGCTCAGCCCACACAAGCAGTCTTCTTATTAAAGAAGAACAGTGAGCTGGGTGATGTTATCCAGGCTTCAGGAAAACTCCTGCATACTCGTATATGGGTTATAAAGGTTTCTAAATGGTATGTGGCTTTGATGGTTCTTGGAAAAACCTTTAATTGGGATTAAACATGTAGCTTGTAACGTGTAACATGCTATGCTCTGCTTACTTACTTCCAAGCAGTACTAGAGTAACTGCATGTCTGGGAACGAACAGCAATCTAATCCTCATGAACACTTGCTGTGCATAAAATATTAGTAAACTCTCGAAGAGATGGCTAAAGCAAAATATATGCAATTAATCCTAACAAATGTAGGTGTTTTTATTTAATACATTAATATTATTTGTTTTGAGGTAAGACTTGGGCTATTTCAAGTGCCACCCATGTAGCCGCACTCCTTGAAGTATCACCTGA